TTTAGACATTTTTTGCTACGTTTTCTGAAATGCAAACACTCCACTGGACTCGGTCCTGAAGGTTGGAGCTTCTGTCAGTCATGGAAAAGCACGTTGCTAGGAAACTAACAATCCCAATAGCAGCCATTTACCTCGGCTTTTTGTAATATGTTTGAAGCTTGAGACCACTATTTGCTTTGTGACATTAGTCCAGTGTCAGGACGCATTAGAAATGCTCAAAGACTCCCTTTATATGTAAAGAAGGATCACGCACGCTATTGAAAAAACTAAACAAAACATGAATAAATACTGAAATAGGCAACAAGTCAAGTTAGTCAGAACTAGTAATGTCTCGGTAAATAAATGACCCTTTTAGAAGTTCCCATCCACTTACTCAAGCTGAATCACACCTTTAACAGGCAGATGAGATTTACCTATCCACAAAATCAACCATCAACATATTTCAAATCAGAAAACAATTAATTTCACCCTCATTTCAGCAGACTATTTCATTCTCCCTCTCTATATATAGCACTCAGTCTCCACAAAACCCTATAAAAACCCAGATAAATGATGATGGAGGCAGAGTATTTCAGCAAGATGAGAAACAAACAGAGCTAGCTATAAATGACTGTTTCTGTATGCATATGACTAAGAAAACGACTGCCATTAATGTGAACTGACTGCACTTTTCCAAATCTAATTAAAACGTTTCATGAAACAGGGCTGCACACTTTTGCACAACAGACACAGAGCGATCCTTGGCCTATCCAACCACCGCCAGATCAGAAATGATGACAAACCATTAAAACACAGATTGGAACTGACGATACAAGTGTTATTTCATGGGCACTAATCCATGATTTCCCAATGCGAAATGTAATAAAGCTGCAAGCAGCAAACTTTTTTAAATGAGCCAGTATTTACAGCTATTGACCAGAGGAACCTGCTTGCCGCAAGCCAAAAACTGCTACCAGATTTCCAGAGCACATACAATTCAAGTTGGAAAGACTGGCGCCGATGCTGATGGCTGCCTCCGTGGTGTGCTTTTTATGTTTTTGTTAGTTTGTCCTGTCTTTAGTTATATCCTTGCAATCAGTTTCACCAGAGACGAATTGCTGGACATTCGGAAGTACACGCCACCCGATATTTCACCGGTTTTCGACTATTCTGATGTTTTGCTGGACATTGTAGTCAGGGGAGCTGAGGCGCTGATCAAGCGCTTCAGGACGCGTAGACGGGGGAAGCGAGCCGGCGCCCTCGTCAAGCTCAGGCAGCGCGCATTCAGAACGCCGTTGCCTAGCATCTATCTGGTGAACCTCCACTCTTTACCCAACAAAACGGACAAGCTCCTTCTGCTCTCCCAGACAAATAAGGATTTTTCAAACTCTG